GAGGGGGGAACCCCTCTGCTGGGAGCCCAGCAGGAGAGAGTTGGGCTTGGGCAGCCTGCAGAGGAGAAGGCTCCAGCTGGGGAGACCTTCTGGGGGCCTGACAGGACTTGCAGGGGCCTGTCAGAAAGCTGGGGAGGGACTTTTTCACAGGGCCTGTTGGGACAGGACAAGGTAGGATGGTTTGAAATTAAAAGAGGGAGAATTAGATTGGAGAAAAGGAGGAGCCCCTGGCCCAGGTTGCCCCGAGGGGTGGTCGATGCCCCATCCCTGGAACCATTCCAGGGGAGGTTGGCCAGGGCTCTGAGCAACCTGCTCTACTTGGAAATGTCCCTGCTCAGGTTTGGACTAAAGGACCTTTGAAGGTCCCTTCCCATCCAACGCACTCCACAATCCCAGGAGCTTGCTCCAGCTGCTGGCTCAGCTTAGGCCTCACCCAGGGCACTGACCTTGCCCCTAGGTGCAGCTGCAAATAAAAGGAGACAAGTCCACAGCCAAGCAACAGTCAGAGTTGGCTCCTTCTGGGTCACCTCTGGTAAAACCACAGCCCCTTTTTCAGGCAGAATTGGTGACTTTTGGCATATTTGAAATGAGATCTATAGGGCTGAGGCAAAGCACTGTTTGGGCACTTTTATGTCAGGATGAGGCTTTTGCCTTGTTCCATATTAGTCTGCTCTTAACACACTGCAACCAGCCCAAAACAAGCTCCTCATCCACGAGCATCAGCACGTTGTACCAAGCTGAATATCCAGGCAGGGCATGAAGCACAATCCTCTCCATTTCAGTGAGTTTTTTTTTTTCATTAAAAAGTTACATTGGTACGAGTGCGCCTCAGTCGCTGCAGGTTGTTTTGCTTCCAGTGCCAGGATAAACTACACGAGCGTGTCCACTGAGGACAGGAGGTTTTGGCAGCTCAGCTGTACCAACACAGGCAGCTTTTCGTGTGTTGACAAGTGTTTTACAGCCACTTTGGAGGCTGGTTTCAGTGGCACTGTAACCTACAAACTATCGGTTTACGGAGAGCTGCAGCAGAAGCACTAAAGCTTCTCACAGTTTGTTTTATTGTGGTTTTGTTGGTTGGGTTTTTTTTTTTCCCCCCGGGCAGGGTCAGAGCAAACTGAACAAAGCCAGGATTTACATCTTTGGTACATCCAGTTGCCCAACATGTATCCATTTCATGCAGCTGTTGCTGTTGAGTAAACTGTGGGCAGCGCCTGGAGGTCGACTCGGGAGTTATCCCGTGTCCGAGGGCTTTGTTGGCTGGAAGAGGAGAATAAAGCAACAGAGACGCAGCTTGGTGATAGCTCCAAAAGCTCTGACGCAGGGAGAAGGTGCCTTCTGCCTGCCAAAAGCTGGGGGAACTCATTTGAAGGAGGCTGAAAAAAAGCCCAGATTTCCCCTCTGGGCAAGCACAGAGGAGTTGACACGCTGAAAATCCTTTCAGCAGCCTCAGCTCGAGCTCAGCAGAGGTGGGAACTTTTTCTCTTTTCTGATCTCTCTGTCAAGAGCTGGTGGCCAGGCTGGTTATAACCTTGTGCTGTAGGTCGGGTGCTGTGCAGCAGATGGGCTCTTCAACCTGCAGTTGCTGGGAGACTGATAAATCCTGAGCGTTTTGAGCTCCCCGCAGCCCCAGGCTCAGCTGCCCCAGCACCTACCACCTTCGAGCAGACCTTGCTGGGTTTTATCTCCACGGAGCTGCCCTCCCCAGCTCCCTGGGGCAAGGCGAGGTACCGGGGTGCTCGGCCCACTCGCTCCGCGCTTGCTGAAGGAGTCGGGAGGCCGAGTCCTCGCTTGAAGAATGTGATTTATTATTTTGCCTTGGCAGCCAAGCAGCGTTTCACTTGAGCCCTTCTTAACCTCTGAAGGTCACTTGGCCAACTGCCTGGCACAGTCGTAACTCTTCACACTGACCTAATCTGTTGGGACAGCTACAGATCCAGAGCTGGTGTTGCGCCGACGGGACGGAGGCAGAGCTGGGAGGGGGAGCCAAGCAGACTCTGGCTTCCCAGCCAGCAGCACCCTCGTTGCAGTTAAGCAATACGTCAGACGAGGAGTTGCTTCCCCCACGTTCAGAGCTCTCCCCCACACCGGAGGAGTCTCGTGGCAGCATTTCTCACTTGGATTTGGAGAAGATTCCTTAAAGCTGTTTCAATTAGTCGCGGTGCCGGCTAAGTAGTGCAAGGTGCTGCTCCTTACCCTCTTGCCCTGAGCTGATCCTTCTTCTCCGTCACAGCTCTGGCCCTCTGCCAGCCCCCTGGAAGAGTGACCTTGGCTTCCTTGTTGTCTATTGTGGGCCCAGAAAAGAGCAACAAAGCTGGGGAGGGGTCGGGGGAACATGGGTTGTGAGGAGCAGCTGAGGGACCTGGGGGTGCTGAGCCTGGAGAAGAGGAGGTTCAAGGGAGACCTCCTGGCTCTGGACAACTCCCTGCAAGGAGGCTGGAGTGAAGTGAGGGTTGGTCTCTTCTCCCAAGTAACCAGCAATAGGTCAAGAGACACTGGGCTGAAGTTGCCCCAGGGGAGGTTTCCATTGGATCTGAGGCAGAATTTCTTTCCTGGCAGAGTGGTGAGGCCTTGGCCCAGGCTGCCCAGGGAGGTGCTGGAGTCCCCAGCCCTGGAGAGGTTCACAAAACATGTGGACGTGGAACTTGGGGACAAGGTTAAGTGATCATGGGAGTGTTGGCTTGACAGTTGGACTTGCTGATTTTAGCGGCCTTTTCCAGCCTTCATGATTCCATGATTCTAAAAGCCCCACTAGTCTCCTTAAAGCCCAGTTTGACATTCCAAAAAGGTTTTGCTCTGTGCAGATTTGTTGAAGGTGGCCTTGACTATTTTGGTCAGTTTTGGCGTCAAGAGGATTCCACTCCCTCTTCCCGTGCATCCAGAGGAGCGCAAAGATGGTGGCAGATAAGAGAACGGGTGTGATTTTTTTGGTGGGTGGTTTATTTTTTCAAATTAAAAGACTTGGTGAATCCCTTAACAATCTCTTAGGATGGGTAATAGTGTATTGCACTAATTTCTTGGATTGAGGTAGTTCCAAGCTAAGAGTGTGGATTGTTGACCCCCTGTCCCAGGTTGCCCCGAGAGGTGGTCGCTGCCCCATCCCTGGAACCATTCCAGGGGAGGTTGGCCGGGGCTCTGAGCAACCTGCTCTAGTTGCAGATGTCCCTGCTCCCTGCAGGGGGGTTGGACTGGATGATCTGCAAAGCTCCCTCCCAACTCAAACTAGTCTGGGATTTTATGACTGTTTGGGATGTGTGGCACCATCTGTGAAGCAGCAACTGTTTTACCAGTGGGGGAGAGGCAGAGAAGCTAAGGTCATCTGGTGATTTGGGAATCAATCCATCCATAATTTAGGCATTATGTCATCTTAAACCTTGACTTTTACAATTTCTAAACAATTTACGGTCCCTTTTTTTTTAAGGAGCAAGTGAAATATATGGCTAAACATCTGCAATTTCTGTGCCTAATTTTAAAGTTTTATTTGGTGCATCTGATCTAGGCTTAGCAAAAATCCCAAATGACTACACCAGGGGTTTGGATATTATGAAAAATTTCTTCCCTGAAAGGTTTGTCAAGCCCTAGAAGAGGCTGCCCAGGGCAGTGGTTGAATCACCATCCCTGGATGTGTGTAGAAGTTGTGTTGATGAGATGCTGAGGGATGTGGTTTAGCAGTGGACTTGGTAGAGGTGGGTTAATGGTTGGGCTTGATCTTAAAGGTCTTTTCCAACCTAAATGATTCTATGATTCTCTCCTACCTCTGCCCTCCTTCCTTTGGGAACTGCACAAGGTGAGCTTCTGGCTGGAGACCAGCCACTTCGGATGGTTTGTCCTGACTTGACAAGTTCTCTCTCACGTTTGTTTAATTCAACCTCTATCTAAGTACAGGTTACCAAAAATTGCTCAGAGTTAAATATCTGAGATGAAAAGGTGGCTGTGAGGGGGTGTTAGACCTGTGTTCTATTGAGATGTTTATCTTCTTCACAGGTGTCCCTCCACCTCCCACACCTGAGGAAGAGAAAGCTCCATCTCCACCTCCTGCACCTGCTCTGAAAACTGAGCTGGAGCCTGTAGCCACAGAGGTAAGAGCACTGTGGGGTGGTTAACTTCTGGTTTTCTCCAACTCACTGGTACTCTTTAGGTGCTAAGGGAGAGGTCCTGTTTGCCTGGCAAGCCCATCACATCATCCTGCTTGAAAGAACCCACCATGTTCAGATGTTTCTCCATTTTTCTAGGCTATTATTTAAACTCCAGTGTAGCAGAGTTTTCGGTTTTCTTCTCTTTTTCCCTCCTAATGGTTCTATGAATCCTGGCTTGTATTTTTAAGCACTCTTCCCTCTGAATCTTGGTCTCAGGAGTCAAGGCAGGGCCAGAAATGAAAGCAGAGACTCCTGCTCCTCAGCCTTGTGTCTCGGGGATAAGAGAGGTGGGCAAGGAGCTCATTTCTGAGCTGAGAAAATACTGCAAGTGTTTGAGTAGCTCTGAAAGTGCAGCCCTTTGTCACACAGGAGTTCTGCTGTCTTGTTTCCTCGTTCTTGAGAGGTATGATGGGACAACTCCAGTGCCACCTTCTCATGTAATTAAACACCTTTCAGAAGGTCACTTGTCCCAGAAGCAAGCACAGGGAGCACATTCTGCAACAAGAAAATTCCCTGTCCCATTTACCTTGTCTTCTCTGTCTGAATTTTGTCCTGGTAGGATGGGGAGATTGGTGTCATTAGCAAAAATGAGATGAGGATATCCTGGGGAGCTATCAGATCATTATTATGTCTAGTAATGAGTTAGCAAATCATGCTCAGCTTCAGTAGAGACTACATTTGATGCCAGGAGCTGATGCTTTTCTGACCTGCGTACATCCAGAGGCTTTAACTCTTGATTTCTCACAGTCCCACCATGTCCTTCAGGTTTCAGCTGGAGGGAGGAAGAGGAAACGGAAGCGTGTGCTGAAGTCCAAAATGTTCATCGACGAAGAGGAAGGCTGCATGGGTAAGACACAGCAGTGGAACTTTCTTTATTGAAATGTGCTGAGGATTTTCACAGGCTGGCCTCTCCTGGGAATTGAAGGGTTCACAAAATCAGTTTCTTATTCCTCTCCAACCTCACGCTCCTGGACTGAGGTGACTGCCCTTTGGGGAAGGCCTGGCTAGGGAGGCATGGAGCTGTAGCTGAATTCCTTGCTCTTTAGTGATTATTCCCAGGTTTTCTTTCAGTTCTTCTCTTTTCCCTCCTGCCAACGTGAGCACCTCCTTCATTTGCTCTCCTCGCCAAAGCTACAAGCTTTAAAGGTGGTGCAAAAAGGAGGGGTCTGGGTTTGGGATACATTCTGGCAAGGGTAAATTTGGGTTGGTTTTTGTTTTCTTTTGTGGATAAACCCAGAGCTGTGGAGCAGAGCTTGATTATATCTTAACGTGAACTTTAAGTATCCTGAATAAACAAGGAATAAGTTTGGCCTTAAATCCATGAGAGGGTTTTTGTTTCTGAGAAGGATGGCTCTGCTTTCAGGAGGGAAGAGACAAGAGGCTATGAATTCACAGAATTGCTTAGGGTGGAAAAGACCTTTAAGACCTTCAGATCCAACCACTCCCCCAGCACTGCCAGGTCCCCACTGACCCATGTCCCTCAGCACCACATCTCCATGGCTTGGAAACCCCTCCAGGGATGGGGACTCCACCACTGCCGTGGGCAGCCTGGCACAGCCCTGGACAACCCTCAAGGGCAACAAATTGTTCCTCAGGGCCAACCTCAACCTCCCCTGGGGCAACCTGAGGCTGTTTCCTCTTATCCTGTCACTTGTTCCTTGGGAGAAGAGCCCGACCCCCACCTGTCTCCAGCCTCCTGTCAGGGAGTTGTCAGGTAGCTCGTCTCCAAAATTTAACAACTGCTTGAGAAAAGAGAATATTCAAA